CTGTTGGAATTATTGATTAACGCATTTGGTTTATTGTGTTTGTATAATTAAACCAGAACTGTTTGAATCGATTATGAGCACCATGCCAAAATCGGCAAACTTTTAAGTGATTTTTTTTCCATTGGAATCTATTGGCAGATGTTTTATGTATATATTCTACGAAACAATTTAGTAACAGTGAGTTATCGTTGCAGGTTCATTTCATTTCTCGAGTGTGTAGACTAAAACTATAGGTGTTTACTTTTCGTCACTTCAACTAAATAACAGATCAACGGCATCTGAATTGCAATTTTTTAAAGCCACTGTGAAGGTTGATATCATTTTAAAATGCAGAATTTTAAAAAGCTCATTCAAAGACTAAATAAAGCAGCTGCACTGAAGTACCGAAAATGAAACTAACGTAGCGGTAGCGAGATGAATAGGGGAGGGGTGGGGGGGGGGGGTGGGGAGAGGGCAATGAAACATTAAAGAATAAACTAAGCCTATTGAAAACAGGTTTTTAATGGTAATCTTTTAAAAAAAAATGGTTTAGTTGGCGGGTTTTAAAGAGACTGTAAAGGAGGAAATTATTTTATTTTTCTGTGGGACAACACAAATAACTATTTTGCTGGATAAAAAGAATAATTCACTCACTTTAACCGGTATAACATGATTTTAGCACCTAAATACAAACATACTACAGTTTATTTACTTGAGGAGAAGACGACAGACATCTCACTTAATCTGCGAAATATTCTCGATACCTCTACTTTTGGTCTCGCTATATACCACATACGGGATGTATACATGAAGCATGTTATGTGCGTCCTGTTTTAGTAGGCTCAAACAGAAAGGGCACGCTAATTGTGAATTTAAAAACTTAAGATTACATCATTGCGTGCAGAATTCTAAATACTGTTTAAATGTTAATAATATATTTCATGAGTGCTCTATTTGTCAAATTAATGAAATATTTAACCCAAGAAATCTGTGTTACATCACGGCAATCTATTACTATTCGTCATTCTTGTTCTGCGTTTATAAAATCCATTTCCAAAGACGTCAATTAAGGCATGTGTGCGAACCAGAAAATACAGCACATTTCGTTAACAGCTGTATAAAAAATTAGACGCTGCTCTACATATCCAGAGATACTGCTGGATAAAACATGAAACACGACCAACGTTTGTATATTATATGTAAAAAAAGACGTTTAATTTTGAATGTTCGTGCATTAATGGCTAATCGTTGCAGGAAAACATTAAGATAATTTTTATGTTTAAAATAAAGAACTACTTCAACGAGCTGCGAAAGCTGAAAGATATTTGAGATATTAGATTTTTTAAAAAATAAACAATACTTCAAATAGATATTATAGAGAATTTTTTTTCATGGTAACTAAATGCTACATTTCACAAAAAAATTAAATGGATGTTCTTATTTTGATTTACGCCAAAATATACATTAAAGATTCGATACCTAACTAGATTTTAGTAAATAATAATAATAATAATAATAATAATAATAAGTATATTTGATACCTGGTTATATAAACATAATACATCTAAACAAAAAACACTGAAAAATGTTTCAGTTATTTTCATTCAAAACGAAAGCAAAAAAAATATTTATTAAAGCGCCACAAGATTTTATTTAAAAATCTGGTTTAACGTTCTAACCTTTCTCGTACATTCTTATAGAAATTTAGAAGTTTTGGACAAAAAAAAAACTGACACTTCAAAAATAAAAAAAGGTAATTGTTCTTATAAGATGCTTTCGTGAGATTATGATATAAAGACACACACACACGGCGACAGACAGACAAGACTACACAACTAAATTTTTCCAACTGAAGGTTGTGTAAAAAGACGAGGTTTGTCCAAATGCAGGAGTTAACACCCTTACAACTCTACCGCTCGACCACGCCCTCACCCCTCATTTATCAACAAGCACAGGCGGGCGATTTCTAATAATGTGCGCTCCTATCCACCGTACCTTTAAATTCAAAGCTACGACTTTGCCCTTTTAACAATAGACTAACTTATAACCCAGCCGTCTGTTTAGTTTAAACCTAAAATATTGAATATTTCAATATGACTGAAAATAGTTATCGTATAAATTATAATTCAATTAAAAATGTTACGACCTAAACACATTTTTATATTGCCCAAAAAAAGAGCCGGTTTCGGTGAACACAGGTGTTACTGTGTAACAAACATCAGGAACCCCTTTTCTGGGGTGTATATGGCTGGTCTAATTGAAAATGTCGCTAGCGTGAAGATTTTTTTTGAAGCAAGCAAGCCTTGAAAGACCGCTCCTGTGAAACTCTATTATACCTCCGACAAAAGGGTTTAAAGAAGTCGACCAAACGTGGTTAACCAGCTCCTTCGTGAGCATTCACGGCAAAAGCTTTATTATATAGCCGGAAACTGTTCTATAGAACATATTCCCCGTGTATCAAAGGATTTCGTTTTTTTTACGAAGCGGGTTGAAATTTAAAATTAAAACGGAAATATTTGTTTACCTTTACCTTAACCTTAAACTTGTGTTGACAATAGTATCAGTAACCACCCCCCCCCCTCTTCAGCAGCCTTTGCCGTTGACTCATCTCGGAGAATCGAACTTGTTACTTTAATAAGTGAGTTTGACAAAGTAAAATATGCAAGGTCTTCAGTTTATGTTATTCACTTTTTGGCACTTAGCTGCATCAATTTTAGTGTTATTGATTAGGACTTATTAACGGAACAATAAAAGTACATCTTACATGTACTTTATCACAAACGTAAAATCAATAACCTTCGTCAACATTGATATTTTTATCAACACAGTTAGGGCGCAAATCGATCAAATAGACGTAAGCAAATATTTCATCTTGCGAACACACTGACACGCCGTTTAAGTCGTGCACGTGACATCAATACTGTAGCTCAGCCAATAATAATATTAGTGTTTTAATAACGTATTCAAAGACTGGTAAAGATACCCAGTCGATTTGGTTTCTACTGCTTTCAGTATGCAAAAATCTAAGCTGTTTCCAAGTAAAGCAAGGACGCTATGGCTTAACCAATGAAAATGCTTCTTTCGATTTGGTTCGCTATAACCGGTACAGTTAACTGGCGCTTCAACACTCATTACGTGTGCGGTGTTATCGTGTTCATAAGGAGGTAACGACTTTTTAAATCAAATATGTTACAATATTCGTATGTATTTTAAAAGTAAAAGGTAGAGATTGCATACTATCTATATCCCTATCTATTTATAACTTACAGTATAATACATTAGTTATTTCTTTTAACGCTGTTGTAATGGAGCACTTTGTTGTATTCCTTATTTGGTTGTCGTAGACACCCCCCCCCCCCATTGCCTTTTATATATGTGTGTGTGAGAGAGAGATAGTGAGTTTATTATTAGTGTAAAGCTTGGCTATGTCAGTTAAGTGATGAAATGGTGGGTGTTTACACAAAGAGTGGCAGTTGACATCTGCTAGGATGAGTGTTAGTGTGTGACAGTCGTCTGTGGTTCTCGTGGAGTAGACTTGGCGTGGTGTCTTCTGGGTGAGTCTTAAAAGGAAACGTTGCTAGTATTGAGTTTATCTCTCTCATTGTCTGAATTTTTATCATTTTCACAATGGTGAACCCGAAAAGTTTTTGACACACTTTTTAAATAATTAAAGAAAAATGCATGATGTTCTTGCTTTCTGATGATGATAAAGAAATAGCAGTGAAATAGCTTTACTTTTAAGAATGTAATATTGCATCAATATATCTATATATCTTGGGCGTCGGTCACTAACTATTTTTTTTCATTAATCGAATGAGAGTATGATTGTACACAGTGTCTAACATTTACAAGGCATAATCGAGATGTAATCAACCAATCAGAACGTCTTTTGTTTCCGGCGTCGAAAATCTCAACGCAAAACGAATCAACTCGCTATCCAGTTAATCTGGTAACTAGTTTTAACGCTTTTCGCTACTTTGTTGAATTATTTTATTTTATTTGTAGACAAAAGCTTGGTGTACCCAAGTTTAATAATTGCACCAATAATATTGCATAACATGTTTTTATGAGAAAAAATGTATTTAAAGGCAAACTCTTAATGAATGTGCAATAGTGGCATATTATTTATCTCTCGAGAATATGTGGTTACACTTGGTTTAAATAAGCAAATACAATGTGCGTTTATTGGGTTTGATAAATATCATCGTGGAATTCGGTGCGCCTGTACTTTTGAATGAGCGCATTACACTTAGAATACAGTTGCTACTAAAATTGATTACTCCACTAGGGAAAAACCCGAACCAGTGATTGTATCGAGTTACTTATGGTACTGTACTTACGGAGGGTTAGTAACGTACACTCAAGGCTTCTTTCAGCACGCCCTGGGGCGTCTGTTCAGTAGAGTGGACTATCCAGCGCCCAAAATAAAAAGATCCAAAAAATATATTTCCGGTGTCTTTAGCATTTTAACTATCTAAATTTAAGAAAATAAGGTCACACTTCTAAAAATAAACAATAGTAACTCGTTGATGAAACTTTTATACAATTGTTTGTCACCTGGTTTGTACGACTAGGTCGCAACAACGTGGACAGGTACGCTAGTTCCGTATAAAAATTCTTTAGCATTCCGTGGTGATTTAGACAGACATTTTGATGTCTATGATGGAATTTTTAACTTTGATTATTTGCTCATTATGATGATGTTATGAAACACATTGTAGATATGTCCTTTGGGTCAGTTACTTGGCCAACTAAAATGGATCTCAAAGAACTTATTAATCATTTTTCAAACTTAACCCATATTCTGCTAACGTCCCACTTATGGGACGCTTGGTAAAAAAATTGCTAAAATTTATTAAAAACTAGTTAAAACACAAATTATGTTTCATTGTATTTGAAAATGGCTAGACTATTGAATTTGTGTGTGTTTTGTGAAAAAAATTAATTTAGAAAAATGTTATAGTGCCGGATTTGCAGGACTTGTCAAAATGGCGGAAAAAAGAAAACATGCGCACAGGATA